GCAACACTCCGGCAACACTCCGGCAACACCCCGGCAACACTCCGGCAACACTGTGGGATTGGTTGTGAATTTAACATATTTCAAGAACAAAGCAGCACTCCGGCAACGCTCCGGCAACACCCCGGCAACACTCCGGCAACACTTCGGGATTGGTTGCGAATTTGTGAAGTCGACAACATACCTAATATATTTCGGGAGCAAGCAGCACTCCGGAAACACTCCGGCAGCACTCCGGCAACACCCCGGCAACACTCCGGCAACACTGTGGGATTGGTTGTGAATTTAACATATTTCAAGAACAAGCAGCACTCCGGCAACACTCCGGCAACACTCCGGCAACACTTTGCGATTGGTTGTGAATTGTTGAAATCGACAACACACTAAACATATTTCGGGAACACGCAGCACTCCGGCAACACTCCGGCAACTCTCCGGCAACACTTTTGGGCCGTGTGCGTTTTTCATCGAAAGTTCGGATTCTGCAAACGAACGGGCAGCATTCCGTTCCCCAGACGCCCCGTCTGGGGGCGGCAAATGCTGCCAAAAAACGGGCAGCATTCCGTTCCCCAGAGCCCCCTCTGGCGGGGGACGGTGGGGTTGAGGTTTCGGAGCCCCCCCATTTCCTGGAGAGCTCCCAGGGCCTCGCCCTGCGCGAAGCGTCATCAGGGGGCCGGACGAACCTGACAACCGTCCGTGGGTAGCCCTAATACAGTCGGGCACCCCCCTCGACTTCGCTGGACCGCCCGCCGCAACCTCGGAGCCTACCGCCCGAAGGTCGGTCATCGGCACCGAGGCCCCGGTAGACGTGCCCCTTAGGACAAGCGACGACAGGACGACCGACAGGATACCTCGCCTTTAGGGCTGAAGGCTCCGCAACAAAAAGAGGTTGAGTAACCATGAGAAGCGCAACCCGTAAGTATTGCACACAGCATGGTATTGGCTTGTCACTGATTTTGGCAGGCCTCAGCGGAATGTCCATATCGGATTTGATGCTTTCGGGAGATGAGCGACCAGATGCCCCATGCACAGAAGCGCCTGAAGAGGATGTGCCAACAAAGAAATCCAAACGTTCGTTGATGCAAACTTGGAGCGATGCAAGCGGCTACGATGATGACGAGATCGGGATTCTGGATACGCATGATGAGCGAGCAGCGAAACTGGCCGTAGATGACAATGGTGCGTGCTCTACAAGATCGGCATCCCAGAGGCAAACAGTCCAGGCCCAACCCGTTGGTGCCGAGCGACTGTTGATCACGCTGCTGGATGTGGTCGGCACCCCGTCATCCAGAACCCAGGCATAATGTTGGAGTCGTGATTGTGGCTGTGCATTGGTGGGTGTTGTTGGAATCTGAGCGTTCATGCCGTCGTGAACCGAGGCTTCCTAATTTGTCAGCAGATTGTGAAGAAGATTTGGGTTGAGGTGCGTCAGCGTGAGTGACCAGAGACAAGCCTGGATTCGACTGACGGTCTCAGCTGCTAGCTGCTTGTGGACTGAGCATTTGTATCGCTATTGCTTGTCCTGGCATAAAAATACAGCATGCTGGTGCGTATGCTTGTAGGAGTCCACTCCAGATTGGACTGGTGGCGCAGTGCAGTATAGGTTAGCTTCAGGTCTTGGTGGTACCTGTGATGCGTGATCTGTGCTGCAGTGCTCCTTTTCAGCTTACACATTGTTGCTCCGTGTCCCAAGCGTAGCGGCATGAGTGCAGCTCCGGCTTCCCAAAGGACCATCGCAGCTTGGATGCATGAATGATTTCGCCGTACCTGTTGCGAAGGAGCACCTCTGGGCCATATGAGTGAAGAACCGCTGTTGTTTCAGGTGAGCCCTCGCATCCAGTCTGTGAAGAGGGGACATGTCAAAGAACCAGAACCGGTGTTTCGACCTCTCGTGCTGGAGGAGTATATCAGACACTTTGGTGCCCTTCCCGCTCCGTTTACTTTGACCGAGTCCCAAGCCGTCGCTCAATGGCACCGCGATCTTTCCGATCCAGAGGTGAAGAAGACCCACATGAAGACATTCGATCGCACTACTGCCACAGTGGAATGCCGCACCTATGTGCATGTGTTGGTTGAGAGCTTGCGCCACGACACGGTGATCAAGAAGTCAACAGTGGTCAGCCGAATCTCCACGGAGTGATCAACATGTGAGCATGCCGGAGCACATGGGCGTGACTGAAGATAGAGCGACCATGTAAGGTTCGTTTGGTGCCGCCGACTGCTCCCATTGTCCCCTTGGCAATTAGTTGCACTTTCGTCAATAGATTTGAGGCATGTTGCAGCAAAAGATGGGGATAGTGCGTTGTGTGGCGACCGTGTCTCGTGCGTGTGTGCCTTGCATTCTGCAGAGTTCTACAATCGCTGCAAACGTTTGGCTGCACATTATTATGTTATGTAATCTTGGTGACATCGCGGTGCCAGCCTGTGCAATATCACAGACTCCCGGATGCAATGTTCATGTCGAACAATTGTCGTCATTTCTCGACATTGCAGAGTCGCTTCTGGCGAGGTAGCAGTGTCCAAGGGTGTCATGATGAGAAACAACGTTGCTCCGGAGAACAAGGTCTGTATTCTTTGCTGCAACTGGGACGTGTGACGTGTGTTCATGATGTCAGATTACTATTGCTGTTTTTTTTGTTTTTTGGCGGTGGCATTGGGTGGCATCTGCCACTCTTCCATGCCATATGCACAAAGGCGGACCATTGACAGCGTCAGACAGATCCTCTATGCCATCCGGCTTTTGTACTGGGTGCTTCCGGATCAAGCGGTGTTTCGATGCCACATGCAGGAAACATGGCACTATGGATGCCATGAATGACATGAAGAAGAATAACCGAGCTGAGTGGGTGCGTGCACTGCAAGATTTTGCTCGGCAGCGAAACGGCCGAGAGGGAGAGCTGCAGCTGCATCTCGAGTTTCCGTAGATTCATATCACATCTGTGACATGCTGCAGAAAGAAATCGGGATTTGCACTTTAGGATTGTATCACATGCCTTGTATTTGCACAGATCTTGCCTCGTGGACTGGAAGCAACTTCGTCGATTTGCCCGATTTCCGCTTCACTATTTCCTTGGTAGTTGTAGTTGGTTCGGGCCGCCCCCTCGCTCGTGCGACCCTGGTCGGAGCACGATTGTCGGCCCCCTGATTGCAAGGGTCGTATCGACTGCCAACCAAGAGATCCGGACAGTAGATGAGAATGAGAGAGAGAGAGAGAGAGAGTATCGACGTTGCAGTGAAGCAAGGCAGCCGTCATGAGCGACAACTTGGATCCGGAGACGGTGAATTGCCTTCTCTGCAGCCGGGCGACATCATTGTTGTGTGTTCATAATGAATCCAGTTTTGGTTTCTGGTCCCGCTGGTGTTCTGTGATTCGGCACTCACGCAGGCAAGAAACTGCTGGATCAGGACAAAGCTTTGAAAATATCCTCAGACTTCTGTGTTCCCTGCTTCAACATCAAGCGCAGCTTCGATGCTGTGTGCAAGCAACAAGGCACCATCGATGCCATGAACGACCTGAAAAAGAACAACCAAACAGAGTGGGTGCAAGTCTTGCAAGAATTTGCAAGGAAGAGAAGCGGCAAATCGGGAAAGAAGATCAATTTCGACGTCAGCTCCCACATCGAATCTGTGAAGAAGGCGAAAGTCAAAGAAGACGATCTGGTGTACAAACCTCTCCTGCTGGGGGAGTATCTCAGACACTTTCGTGGTCTTCCCCCTCCGTTTACCCTCACGGAGTCCCAAGCCATTGCTCAATGGCACCGCGATCTGTCTAACCCGGACATCAAAAAGACATGCAAGGAGATGTTTAATCCAAGCTCCAAGAAGATGGAAAACTTCACCCGTGTGCATGTGTTGATTGACGAGTTGGAGCACCGCAAGGCGGTGGTCGAGAAGTCGGAGCAAGTCAACCGAACGTCGACGACGAAATCGCCCGGGGTACACGCCGAGTACATGGATCTCCTGAGACAACAGGACTGACTATTATGCTGTTTGTTCAGTGAATGTGTGTGTGTGTGTGCATCTGTCTGTCCTTCAGACCCGAGTCCGTCTTTAGGAGCCTGGGCGAGACAAGGATTTCATGCAGGGTCGACAAGACCTCACCATGTCTTTCGAGGATGATGAGGTTGATGTGCGGAAGTCCAGCCGCAACAAAAAAAACCGCAAGGATGCTTCTTCCTCGAAACAGCTGACTTCGGGGTCTACAAAGATACCCAAAATCCAGGATTTGGAATCCATGGTGAACAGCAAGGTGCTGAGTATCTTGCCAAGGGTGGAGGCACGACAGACGGCCCTGAGGAATGCTCTGCAGGAATGTTTGGACCAGATCTCCGAGCACGGGCACCTGCTGCAGAAGTTCCAGGATTTGGTCAAGAAGGGTGTAACCGAGGAGCAGGTGGACGCATGTATCAGGGAAGGATCGGATCCATACGGGTTGGAACGACAGAAATCCTTGTTCAAGTGCATGTACCAGCTGGGTCGCCGGCTGCAACTCGTCAGCCTCATGCTCGGCAAAAGGGACGTGTTGGGGACCAACATGATGCCACTGGACATCGCTCCGAAGGCGGAGGATGTCACCACTGCCTTGCGAAAAATGGTGAAGTTCCTTGGCCGCTTTACTGGCCCCAAGATGCCGTGTGAAGAACAGCACATCTAAGGAGTTTCGGATTCTTCGAGGAGGGGCTTGACTTGGTGATTGTTCCGCTGGAAGAGCTCCTGGACCTCGCCAACTTTATCCAGTCGGGTTTGAACATGGAAGACCCTGAGACGTACAAGGAGAACATCGATATTCGTGCCGCTGATGCTCGAAAGATAATCAGTGCTACCAATGCCGGCTTGCGGTCCTTGAAAAAGGGGGCCTCGGACATGAAGGCGGCCGTGCAGGCTCACAAGGCTTCAGAGCAACGGCGGCATGATAAGTCTGGCGGTGGCTCTGGCGGTGAACGTGCCAAGAAGGGCGGCAAGCTCTCCAAATATGCAGCGACGTCGGACCCCGCCGAGCCTCGACAGGAGTTTGAAGTCCCCGGAGATTGCCTCGGCAACCGCTTGTCTTCTCATCTTAACTTAAGGTTCCTTTCGTACAGCGGCTACTACCTAAGCTGAACATACTTGAAATGTCAGACTTCGCCTGTGTCGGAGCAAGTTTGAAAGGTCATCAAGATTCACAAGGCCATCGAGAAGCAGGGAAGCATTCCAAATGTCAGGGGCTTCGAGGATTTGTCTTCCCGAGACTCCAAGGGCACCCGACCTTTCACGATGCGAAAGGGCAAGAACATTCTGAAGCTCCTGTTGAAGGACGATGGCACACGTGCAGAGTTTCAAGATTTAATCTTCAAATTCAAGGAGGATTTCTTGGCCTCCAGCAAGGACAAGGTTATGGTGCACGTTTCGGAGGGCATCTGTGATGTACTCAGAGTGGAGGTGCTACAAATGATACCGGGCGACACCGCGTGGCCCTTCCTCCGCCGATCGCTGCTGTCGTGGTCTCGGCAGCGTAAAGTGTGATGGTTAACACATTCTTGTAGGTGGCGGTGGTCAGTCCTAGTCCTAGCCTCCAGTCTTCAGGTCCAAGCCAAGACACACGGAGCAGGAGATCAAGGACACCTCCGTTTTCCTGGATAGCGTCTTTGTGTCGGGCCAGAAGCTGCAGTATGTCCATCGTGGCGCAGACTTGGGCTGCGTCGGATCTCTGCGTGTGCAGCTGGAAGGCGTGCGCCTCATCATCCTGGCCAGAGTGACCGAACTCTTGGCGGTGCTGGGTGACGAGGGCGGCATTGCCGATGCCGTGAACTACTTGCTCAGATTGGAAGAAGCCCCTTCGAAGACCGCGATCCCGTCGCTTGTCAGCGCCATCTGCAAGGCTGGCGACGTGACCTTTGTGCCCCCCGGGTACTTGCTGGTCGACAAAGCATGCATGGAAACCAATGTGTTCCTGCGTCTTTCCTTGCAGACAGCATTTGCTTTGGTTTGCATCATATTGTCACGTGGTGTGGAGGGCTGAGACCAGAGACTCAGGCGGATTCCTGTTCCGGTGTTCCCACCCACTCTGCGAGAGGGATTCTGCGCCTATGCACGTCAGTATCCGAAGACACATCTGACAGCTTTTCTGAAAGTCTGCGAGTCCATGAAGGACGGCTCTATCAGTGATGGCGAGGCGGGTAAAGATGGTTCGGTTCTGTTCATGTGTCGGACTTGGGCTACAGACTAGGTGCATGCTTCTGCCATTTTGCTGCAGGAAGCCACCGACAAGGAGCCGGAAGATCCGGCGGGGGACGCCAAAGACGAAAGCCAGGGTGTGTCGGTGAAGAAGGAATATCCGTCTGATGCGAACAAGGAGCAGCCGAACAAGCCAACGGCTGGAACGGCCGAGCCGATAAAGAATCCTTTTTCCTCGTTCAAGGAGGAGATGGAGGAGGTGGGTGAATGGATGCAAGACTTGGGGGAGAGTGATGGGGTGATCTTGATTGATTGCATCAAGCAGCATCCAGAGTACCAAAACTACTTGGCCCACCTGAGGGAGGTGGGAGATGTCGATGATGACTATGACATCGGCCAGCCCGATGGCGATTGGACGGCAGAGGTCGAGGACTTCCAGAACCACTTGCACGTGTACAAGAAGATTCAGTGGAGCGTCGTGGACGCCCTGAACCATGGGAGAGCGGCTCAAAAGAAGGCGATGCAGGACATGGTGGGCATGCAGTGTTCGTCTGTGTAAGCATTTGGGGTTGAGTTTTATCGCATCTGTAGACGCCATCCGCTGGGAAATTGCGAGGATCACAAGGCCGTGCAACAGGTCGATGAGAGTCAGTCTCCGGGAGAACAGACGCCGCCCGCAGCGCCCGAACAGAAGTTCGATTTGATGGCGCTGAGCGACGAGGAGCTGAAGGGCATCATTTCGGAGATGAAGCTCCACAGCCGGTACCCCCAGTACTTGGAGATGCTCCGCAAGGACTGTGGGGAGCCTGACTATGATTTGGGCATGGAGGGCGCCGATCTGATCTTGGAGATCGAGGCCTGGCAGAGATGGGTTGAGAGCGGGGATGATGATGCTGCCAGGCATGGCTGTGCAAAGGGAGCCGAGCAGGAAGTCATCCGTGTTGCGAGTGCCGGACCTACTCCGGCCCCTGCCGAGGGAGCAAAGGGAGCCGAAGACGAAGTCCTTGAAGCCGACCAGGAAGTCCTTGATGTTCCAAGTGCCAAGCCTACTCCGGCCCCTGCAGAGGGAGCCGAACATGAAGTCCTTGGCACGAAGAATGCCGAGCCTACTCCGGCCCCTGCAGAGGGAGCCGAACATGAAGTCCTTGGC